ATGAAAAAGAACTAAAGGTAGAAACAATCAAACTGAGTTGTCTTCCTGTTCCAAATCTTTATTTGGATCTGGACTCTTTAAGTGATAAGGATAATTGTTTATCTTATCTACAGATAAAGATCATCTTATTCCTAATCAAATTAGGAGTTCCCTGATCCAAATCTTTATTTGATCTGGACTCTTTAAATGGATAAGAGTTATCCTCTTATCCTTATCTACTGATTCAAACCCAGATCTGCCCCTATTTAATTAATCCAATTAACCCAGTTCGAAATGGGCTTTTAGGCCCATTAAGCTTTCAGGCTCACTTCCTTTTAATGCTGACTAACTTGGCTCTCTTTATATGGCATGGGACCCTAACATTGATCTACACATCAGCCACATGGGTTCAGCCTAGCCTCTGTTACAAGGCCTGGCTGAATTCATTGTTGAATACAGTGAACCCCTGAGTCCATTACTATGGGCTCTTAATGGGCCCAACATTTACATTAAATGGTCCTTGGGTCCAGCCATCTTATGAAGGCCCAAGGACTGTGGACAGATGCAAGATTAGCCCATTAGRTATAACCCTCAATGGTCTTACACTTAACCTCTCAGCCCTTAATGATCAAACACTTCTCGACAAGAGAGGACCTCTCCCTCGACTACAAAGTACAGTGCTGCACTCTCTACTCACATGGATCTCAGGAATTAAAACCTTTTGCAAACAATTTGTGAAACCACAATATATAAGTATATCTATATATAAATATATTTTGCAAAACCAAATTTCAAATACATTTGAAATTCAATACCGACAGTTTAGGTTTCCATCAGAGAGAGTGCATTTTTCCGATCATTCACTTTGTCCAGCAAAGGGGCTGATCCTATTATTATGATCACCCACTAAGATGAATTCTCGGACTGTCCCAACATACGTAGGTTTTGACCCCCTCTAAGGATCTTACTGATTGGCATATCAAAGATAGCCCAATCGAACACCTAGTGCAGTACCATAATCGAGTCTAGGGGTTAGGTGTAACATTCCAGTTTTGCCCATCTATCTCCAAGGTCCAGGACAATACTGAAATTTGGTTCAGTTCAGGGTTTTAAGAAAATCCATACTACATGTGCCTCGGGTCTCACCCTGGTAGCTGAGACAAGCCACCCCAACCAACTTGGTAGCACATCAGTGTCAGCCTTGGTAGGATAAATCTCCCCATATCTATCAAACGGCTGTAAAGATTCTAAACTAACATGAGTCTCATATGTCTCCAGTTTAAGGGTATTACACAGAAACACACCACAATAACATGAATCAAATATGTACTTTATTCATTTACAATAAATGTCATAATGTACATCATGCCGATTGGAGCTAAGGGCATACACTATCTAACAGATACCACTAAAGGAAGGGTTAGGATCCATCATATGGCTGGCCAAAATTTTAAAAAATTTCTAATCATTCCGGGAATCGAATTCCCTATGTTTTGAAAAACTACATTTTTCAAGACCGGTCTTGCACTGAACCAGACTATATTTGAATCCAACCAAATAGGGAGATGCATACCTGATATGGATACCACAAACATAGATCCCAAGGTGGAAGTTCATGCCCAAATCAGTCATTAAACCAACATCCACTAAAGATGGCGCAGCATATTCTTGAAGTCGGTTCAACAACGTAATTTTCAGCAATCTCCTAATCAAATTAGGAAATTATCCAAATCTAATTTGGATCTGGACTCTATTAAAAGATAAGCCTTATCCTCTTAAGAGGATGGATGCTCCAAACCCAGAATCACCCAAAGTTGTCATGTGACATCTTAATTAATTATATTAATTATGGGCCTTAGGCCCACCATCTATAAGGTTTATGACCCAAGAGTGTTACATAGCCAACTTAGGCCTGATTTGTATGGTGTAGGACCCCACAATGACCTCACATAAATCCACATTGGTCCAGCCCAACCTCTATGAAAAGGCCTGACCAAATTCACTGCTAAACGTAGTGAACCCCTGAGCACATCACTATAGGTTCAAAATGGGCCCAACATTTTACACTAAAATGATCATTGAATTTAGCCATCTTATGAAAACCCAAGGATAATGGACTTAAGTAAGATAAAGCCCATCAGGTAATCAGCCCTGTAATGGTCTCTTACACTTAACCTCTCATCCTATAATGATTAAACACTACCAGATAGGGAATGACCTCTCCCCTGCCTGCAAGGTGTAGTGTCACACTCTCTGCTCAGATGGATCCCGGGAATGAAAACCTTTTGTAAACATTTTTCATAAAACATAATTTATATTTATCATATAAATATATTTTGCAAAACCAAATCTCAAACATAGTTGAAATCCACAGCCGACAGTTTAGTTTTCCACCAGAGAGAGTGTAAACCCTATCATTCACTTTGTCCAACAAAGGGGCCGATCCTATCACTATGATCACCCACTTAAGTGAATTATCAAACTACCCCAACATACCCATGTTTTGACCTTCAATGGATCTCACTTATTGGCACATCAAAGACAACCCAATCCAACACCTAGTACAATACCATAATCAAGTTTAGGGGTTATGTAACTTTCTAGTTTTACCCATCAATCTCCAAAGTCTAGGGAATAACTGTAAAATGGTTCGGATTCAGTGTTTGAACCAAACACACACTGCATGTGATTTGATTGTAACCCTAGCAGTTGAGACAAGTTACCCCAACTTCTTTGATAGCACATCAATGTTAGCCTTGGCAGGATAAACTCCCCAAGTCGTCTATCCAACAGTTGAGAACATTTTAAACTAACACGAGTCTCATAAGTATCCAGTTTAAGGGGTAATTTCATAGAAACATACCAATATCAACATGAGACAATAATGTACTTTTATTCATTTACAATAAATGTATTTATACATCAATCTGATTGGAGCTAAGGGCATATACTATTTAACATCTTCTTCTTCTTCTTCTTCTTCTTCTCAGATCCATTGGAATACACTGTTTGACACTGTGCACTCACCCCTTCCTCTCGACAGCGGCGGCAAACCAGTAGTAGGTCTTCGTCTGTTTCTCTCTCTTCCCCTCTATATCTTCTTCTTCYTCCTCCTCCTCCTCCTCCTCCTCCCCGGCATTTCCCTCCTCTTCTCTTGTTTTCATCACCGTCGCTGCAAGTGTTGCAGCAGCAGATTCGAACTCAACAGTGGCACCCCCTTCATTCTCCCTCACATTTTTTCTTCGGCATTTCCGCATCCTCTCCCTCTCCCATTTCTCTTTCCCAAAATCTATTGTGTTTACACTGTTCACTTAGTCTTCCTTGCGACTGAATTGAACCAACAGTGGGGTAACTCTTTCTTTCCTCTGGCCTCTCTCACTTTCTCCCTCTCATTTCTTTCTCTCTCACTCTCTCCCTTGTTTCATCATAAGTCTACTATTCATCACCCTCTCAGTTGGGAGTTGCAATGGTAGAACTCCCCCGTTCACGTTCGATCCATCATATCTCTTGATAAAACCATTGATCCCAACCTCACTAATCCTCTTCGTTTCCTTGTTATCATCATCTCCTGGCTCCTTCTCCATTCCAGATTTCCCGTTTGGACAGGAACTAGACGTAGCATCAGCAGTAATCTTGTTAGACAAGCCAACAGACCCTCCATTACTGGTTGTTCCCAATAACGTAGATTGCTCCGATACCGGAGCCGTGTTTGCTCAAAGACGAAGTATCTGAGATCGAAGCAAGTTGGACCCCTTCCGTTTTTTGCATTGATAGCTAGTGGAGTTAACCGAACCACAGTCACCTGAGATCCTGCCCTCGATCACTAGGTGAAGTCCATTCTCCTACTCCTCTCTGCATTCATCAACATTTTGGGTCAGGCCTAGTGAAGCTCAAAGCTAAGTGACCTACAACAGCAGCAGTAGAAGTTCTTTCTCAATTCTGTTAGTCGACTTTGGGTTTAGACACAACAGGTATTTCCCCTCCTCCTATAATTAGTTTTCTTTTTTGTTTAGTTGGTTTCTAGTCTATTTCTCTTGCATTGGTCCTGGCTGAGGAAAGGGAAGAAGGCCGATGGAGGTGGTGAAACCAACTTCTATAGTGTTTCTTTCCCTTCTGACTCTGCCACTATTTTTTTTTTCTTCTTTTTCCTCTTCTTTTCCTCTGATATTAATCTTATCTCTCCGGTGTTGATTGGTCTATGTGATTGTTGGATGCTCATTGCTCAGATTAATTCTTCTTATGGTGTTAAATTTCTTTGTTATAGTTAGGGGTTGATTTGCATAAGTCAATTTCTTATTTCTGTTTTTATGAAAATCCTTAGTTTGTTTAAGTTTTATGTATCTTAACATTTAGTTCCATTCGGTCTGATAATATATGCTTAGAGTAATAGATCTGTTAAATCTGGTTTTGTTTATCTTTCACTCTAATTCACATGTTGAGAAGATAGTTTCTTTCCACACACCGTAGAAGTAGTTAGCATGTTTTTGTTGGATTAAATATTTTCACTTTGTATTTGTGCTCGTTTGGATTTTCATGTGGGCTACACTTATTGGATTCGGGAGAGGGATTTCTAATCCCTTTCCTCTTCCATCCGAGTCTTATCCAGATTGGTCAGTGGGTGCCCCGAACTTTTAAGTCACTAAGAAATAAAAAACGTTTTCCGATATAAATCCCAAAGGTCCTATAACCTCCTTTTCATTTATTTTATGGATGGCGACTCCAATTCCAACCCAAGTAAACAATTTTTTTGACCCTCACATATGGTATGAAAAGAGTTTTGATCAATCAAAACCCACCCATGAATTTTGAGAAATAACACCATGTTCCCATATTTATTGATTCTGGTTTATTCATCAATTATTTTTCCGATATCATATATATATATATATGTATGCTGGTGCTGGGCAGACTGACACATGAGCCATAGGCAACACGGCCGTGCCGGCCGATGGACCTGAAACCCCATGCCGACCTATTTACACAATTACACCTCTACCACAAACCCACAAACCATCGGGTTGCATGCAAACCACAATAATAAACAGAGGAAGTGAAACAGTTAGACGTTTCCATTTGATGGTCGGGTCTGAACTTCTGATTAGCCACGACATCCATCCACGTGGTTATTATTAGGAACTGAAAAGATCGACTTCGGTCAGGGCAAACCGTACTCACACCGTCTCAACACCTCTCGCAACCTAATATCTCCCCTGAAATAAAAGTACATGAGTGTAGAGATATTCTCAAATAAGGATTCTCTATTCGAGAAATTAGGAAACCCGCGCAGCGAACTGCCAACCCACTCTGGAAAACTCTTTTCCATTTCTCTGATTCACTTGCAAGCGTTGAATTGAAGCCACAAACAAATAATAATTAAAAGACCAGGGTGACGCAGCAATCCTTCTCCTTGGCCTTGGGTGGAGTGGCGGAGGACTGCCTATTCATGCTTTCCTAAATCCTAATTATAAGACAAAGACCAGGGTTTGAGCTGTGCCACATCGCCAAGGTTATACAAGAATTCATTGCCGGAACAAATTTCAATTACTTCACACGGAAATATTACTTTCGGCCGTCTCCTCCACAACCTCAGCTTGCGTAGTAAATTAACTCCTCTCGACCTCCCACAGCTGGGTAAATAAGCTGCTGACTCATATGTGTACATACTGTTCGTTGAAATGCCTTACTGGATTCCTTTTTCTTCATCATCATCCTCTTCTTCTTCTTCTTCTTGAAATTGTACAGTATGCACCTTTATAACTGCCATGTCAAAAACAGCTGTCACCTTTAAGTTTTCTGCCGTGGTAAAACAAAAACATGCATATTGGGGAACACCCCCTTGAAGCTGTTGGGATAACCAGATATTCTAATTCCTAACAGTTGGAAGGGTGCATTCAGGACAATAATTGAGAACCTCTTGCCACTCTTTCTCCCTTGGCAATGCAAAATTGAATAACTCTGAATTCACTTATTTGTTAGTTTTTTCAAAGGAAAAATTCTAAATTTTGTTTCTTTTCTTTTCTATAAAATTTTGGTTTTTTTTTGAATATTCCAAATTCTTTTCTATATGCGATTATTGTTCGTTTCTATACTGCCGTTTGATCTGATTTAGTCTGATGCGGTGTTATCTTCTAGTTTTCCAATTTTGGCTGGTTGAATCCTAGCTGCACTCAAGCAAGGGCTTCAAGATTCCAGATTGCATTTGAATTCCTTCAAGGATAACAAGAAGGCCATAGCTTTTAACTGATTTCCAGACAAGAAAGCCGGAATTCTGATAATCATTTATGTTAAGTACTTATGGCATCAATGGATTTATCAGAAATTATGTGCAACTTTGCCAAATTTGTGTTTATGGTCGCTTCAACTTTGGTAAGGGTGTACATTTTCTTCATCAGTTCAAACATAGGAAATGTGTTAGAACGATCAAGAAAAAGATCAGGAAATCTATCAAACCTTGTGCCAAGTTGGTAGAAAGTGTCTCCAAAGTATACATGAGGGATACTATTGGAAGCATATTGAATATATTGAGGTATTCAACATGGGATTCTGCTCAAGAACAGTTGGGAAAGCTTCCGGTGAAATGGGATTCTTACACAATCAACCAGGTTCTAAAGACTCATCCACCAATGGAGAAATCTTGGCTATTTTTCAATTGGACTTCCCATTTAAAAGGGTTTAAGCATGACCAGTTCACTTACACCACAATGCTGGATATCTTTGGAGAAGCTGGGAGAATTGCATCAATGATGTATGTATTTCAGAAGATGCAGGAGAAGGGTATAAAGATTGACACAGTGACATATACGTCACTATTGCATTGGCTTTCTAAAAGTGGGGATATTGAGGGGTCACTGAAGATGTGGGAAGAAATGAAATTTAAGGGTTGTCATCCAACAGTTGTTTCGTATACTGCATTTATGAAGATTCTTTTTGATAGTAATAGACCTAAGGAGGCTACTGAGGTTTACAAGGAAATGCTTGAATCAGGATGCTCTCCGAATTGTTACACATATACAGTCTTAATGGAGTATCTTGCTGGAATTGGTCAGTCTACACATATACTCTTTTTTAATTGTATCCTGTTTTTGGTTTCTCTGGTTGTTTTGTTGCATATGTCTATATTTTTGGTAAATAGTAAAATTCTTTTTCCTTTAATATTGTACCATTATCCATACAATCAACTGAATTGTTTTTTGATGCTTCAAAATCCATGTTTACCATATCACTGCTGTTCAGAAATTATACATCTTTTTAGACATCTGCCTCTTATTTTCTTTGAGATCATTTTTTCTAGGTTCCATTTCCTGACATGCAGCTAGAATGTAAATGTAAATTTACCATGAATAGGCCCATTGCATTGTATAGTGAAGATTGTGTTCTGAATATCTATACTACTTATAAAAGTGTGAATGGGTCTTATTTTCTGGAATTTTCATTGGACAGGATTTGCCCCTTGATCTTTAGCTATCATGGGGTAAGTTTGTATTTAATAAAAAAAGCTTTAATTGAGACAATAAACCAAATGAACAACATTTATGAATAGAAAATTTAAGACCCCATCTATATCTATACTACGATTAAAAGTGTGAATGAGAGTGAAAAACTTTTGTTTGACTAAAATACCTCAATTTTTTAATTTGGTCCCTCTCTAATTGTAAGGACAGAAATGTAATTTGAATAACCACTTTTCTCCTCATTCAAATCCCTCTCATTAAGTCTTACATTTAAGGTATTAACTCCTATTTACATTCACTAATCTTATTGTTGACTAGAATACCCCTATTTTTGAATTTTATACTCTAATTGTGAGGGAACAAAATGTAATTTGAACTACTACATTTCTCCTCATTCAATTCCTTCTCATTAAGTCTTATAATTAGGGTATTAACTCTCATTATTTCATTGAATCCTATATTATTTAACCATATTAAAGAAAAATAAGTATGGCAAAGAATAATTGTTTTATTGGTGATAGAAATCAAACACAAATTTAAAACTAACCCAAAAGTGGAGTTATTTTCTTATTTGGTGGAGAGTCAACAATTCAACCTTTTGGGTCAAAATGTGTCAACTTTTGATGTCATAGTTAAATAATAATAAAAATTAAAAAAAAGATGAAAACACACAAAAGTATAAAAAATACAAAAAAGATTGTAGAAAACATTTGGGCACATCTCTAATATCGTATATTCATCAGTGTGAAAAATAAGAATACTTTTTATAGATATAGAATATAAAAAAGTTTGGAAGCATATTATTTACTAACATCATCATCATCATCATCACAAAAAATTGCCACGTGCAAAGCACATGCATACTTACTAGTGTTACATGGTAAAGCGAAATTGAATAACAAAAACCTACCCAAATCTAAATAGGTTTTTTATTTCATTAATCTAATCCTTGCATAGTGGTGGTACGGTTCTTTTGAAGATTGTTAGAGATGGTTTGTGTTGGGATCCTATCTAGAAAAGGTCTCTATTTCTATTTCCACAGTGGTAATCTAATGTAATAGTTTGATGGAATTTAAAGACTTTTAACCGGTCAACTTTGTTCTATTTTTTTTTAAAGTTTATTGTGCTCGACATTTAGATTTTAGATTATGGATCTGTTTGTTCTCAATCTCTCCTTTTCGTGAACCTTTCTCAAGGCAAGCCATATATTGTTTGGAGCTCCTGCTACTGGTGAATGCATAAATTCTAGCAATTGGATTGTAGGTTGAAGTTTTATTTTCAAAATCAATAACATGAAGATTTATGACCATTGATGGAAATGCTGACAATAAATGACGGTCTCTTCAAACTATATTTCTTACTATGGTGTTCTTTCATCTTTACAGACCTACTTGTCAATATTAACAATTGTTCCAATCCTATGAGGGATGGAGCATATTAAAACATTTAAAAAGAGCATCTAGAACTTACAAATTAAACAACTATGAATTAATGAACTTGCCTTCTCCAGAAGAGAAGTCTGATGTTTGGCTTGTATTTCATCATTGAGCTGGAACTTGGGCAGCATCCTACTAGGAAAACTTGCCATTAACTTACCATATTGTTCTCTTTTGTTTTGTTAAACACAAATCAGTGCCAAATCTTGGCATTGTGTATTGAACCTTTTATTCCTTGTAAGTGGAAAAATATTAGCCATCAACATCAAACAGTTGCTTAAACCTGGTAGGGCCTAATTAGATATGTTGGCCAAATTGTACACTAATGTAATTCGGATAGTGGATAAGTTTATACAAAGAAGGCCTAACCATTCACAATTAATTTAACTTAATGTTCTTGATGTTGGGATAAGGCTTGGATGATGATATTTTTTCTCAGTATTTCCTACCAAATAAAAGTTGTGGAAGTTCTGGTTCTTTTTTAAATAAAGGTGGTTAAAAGTGCAGCTCTTGTTCTCTTGTAACATGCTTAGCTATGAGCCTATGACACCTTAAATGGAACATGAACACTTCTAAAATTTTAATACCATCCCTTCCTCCAATTGCACTCCCAAATACGACTGCCTCTATCCATAGAAAGGAGAGTTACACCTCTTTACCTAGTGCAGTGCATGAGCTACCAAAAAATCCTAGGTTTTTGTAGAGATCTATTGCTCTTCTTGCTATGCTTTTCTGATTAGCTTTCTTTTCTTCTGCTACTGGTTTCAATATGCTAGTGCATAGCATCCCGGGTGGAGGTGGCTTTCTCTAGGGATGGATGCTTGTGCAACCCAATTGCATCTCAGTCCAAAAGAAACAGCTGGCTCCCCATGCCACTGGGGGGGGGGGGGGTTGTAGTTGGGGGTTTTATCTCATGGCTACGAGTACCTAAACCTAGCCAGTATGACAAATTCAAATTGGTAAAGCCAATTTTAATTCAGAAGACAGAAGGGTGCGGTCAGAAGATTGAAAGGGTTCATAGTAAAATCTTTTTATAATAAATTGACCCAAGAGGATGAGCAGGATTTCCCTTGGCATGTAATCTGGAGTAAGTTTATCCCTTCAAAGGTGGCTTTCTTTGTTTGGTCTGCCTATCTGAACAAGATACTTGCAAAAGACAACCTGATCAGGAGGAGAATGGTGATTGACTCACCTGTTTGTGTATTATGTAATGGAGTAGAAGAGTCAGATGACCACCTGTTGCTACATTTTAGTTTTACATACAACATATGGGTGAAAATCTTTAGAATTTTCACATTCATAAAAAACAAAAAATCTTTAGAATTTTCACCATTAAAAGTTACTGCCCTGCATCAGTGGAAGCTTTTGTAAAAGGCAGGTAGACACATGGTCTGAGTAAGAGGGAAAACTCTATGGCAAATGGTCCCAGGAGCAGTTTTCTGGTCGATTTGGCAGGAAAGAAACTCAAGGCTCTTTCGAAGTAAAGGCTGTCAAGAAGAGGAAGTGTGGCAAAAAAAAAGTTGGGAAGCTGCTGTCCTGGTCATCTGCACATCTATCAAGAAATAGTGTTCCCCTTAGTTCTCTCTTTCATTTTGAAAACCTTTTTGTAATGACAAATGGATAGTGGTCTAATGTTTGTTTGTATTCCCATAGCCTCTAGTTGTACATGGGTCTTTTTCTCTTTTTTCTTAATGAATCAATACTTACCTCTTCTCAGAAAAAAAAAAAAATCAAATTGGTAAAGCCTTGTCTTCAAATTGAATTGTTGATCATGATTTATTCCTAGATTCTCAATGTGTGTCAATCCTCATTGTTGAGGGTTTTCTTGTTGCCCTTCTTGCAGTTATCCTTTATTGACTTGGAAGAGTAGTCTTAGTATTTTCTACATTCTAACTTTTTTTTTTTTTTTCATTTGTTTTAGGTAAATTCAAAGCCGTTCTAGAAATTTTGAGCAAAATGCAAGAAACTGGAGTGCAACCTGATAAAGCTACTTGTAACATTTTAATACATAAATGTTGTAACGCAGGGGAGACATCAGTCATGAAAGAAATCCTTCTTTACATGAGAGAGAATTCACTTGTCCTTCGTCACCCAGTCTATATGGAAGCACTTAAGATCTTGAAGAACATTGGTGAGACTGCTGATCTCCTCAAGGAAGTCAATCCCCACGTCTCCTTTGAAGACATCAACAAGGAAAAACCCAAGTCCAAAGCAGCCATATCTGATGTACATTCCATCATTGACAGAGGCATCATATTAAATCTTCTAGAAAGACGGAATTTTGTTGCTATTGAATACTTGATTAATGAGATGATCAATAAGAATATTCCATTGGATTCAGAGCTTGCTTCTACTATCATTCAAGTAAACTGTGAAAACCACAGACTAAGTGGTGCTTTGCTAGCCTTCAAATACAGTGTAAAAATGAGTGTGCACATTGATAGAGTTTCTTACCTCTCTCTCATAGGTTTATTCATCAGAGTTGGTTCATTTCCTGTTGTCATGGAGGTTATTGAACAAATGATAAAGGCAGGAGTTCCTTTTGGAACATATTTGGTTTCACTTTTGATTTACAGGTTTGGGTCTGCCCAAATGGCTGACTCTGCTGCAAAGATATTCTATTCTTTGCCTGATGATCAAAACTTGGCCACTTATACTGCCTTAATGGGTGCCTACTTCAGTTCAGGGGATGTTGATAAAGGACTTGAAATCTACAGGATCATGAAAAGGAGAGGAATCCATGCATCATCAGGCACATATGAAGTATTATTAGTTGGTCTTAAGGAAGCTGGTAGGGTTTATGATGCAGAAACTTGCAAGAAAGAAATGAAGAGCCTACAACTTGGTCAACAGTTTCGGGGGGTTGTTTCTTTAGAAGAAACACTTTGTGACCTTCTCTTTGCTGGAACTGTGGTCCCATGACTAGCAGTCATAGGACCTTGAGCACCCTTCCTGTTATTGACTTCGTGTACTAATCATAGATCCTGCTAGAAAAGAGGACAATGGTGCTTGCAGCATAGAAATGAACTCCCTACAACATGGTGGCCAGTCATGAAGGATTGGTTCCTTAGAAGAAAGTCTTATTGACCTATTTGGTAGGGGTCTAATCTTATGATTTGGCAGTTCCAGGACCATAAAGAACCACCTCAATGTTCAATTAATTCACCTTATTCCATCTAACCTGTCAGAAAATGGCAGAGTGGTATTCACAGATGTGGGCAGGTGGAAATTTTGTGATTTCTCCGCATCAGGTATCTACATGATGAACATGGAGTGAGATGATAAGGTTTTTCTCTCTAGTTTGTAGGCCAAAATTGTGGGTTGGCGTTCAAGTTGGATGCACATGCATACCTGCATATGTATTTGGATATTACATAGCTGAGCACCTCCTTTTCTAGCTGAGACATGGATTATACCAGATTTGCAGTATTGAATATGCAAATAACGAATTGTAAGTCTGTTTCCCCCTTCTCAGGCAAAAATTTCTTGTGATATCTGCATGTGTTGGTCCACCAAAAGGACTTGTATACATGGTTCTGGTGTGTCATATAGCTTGTTATTGATAAAAGAAATGCTAAATTGCTTTGAAAATCATCAGTTATGTGCTTGATGCCAATACATGTTGTCATTGTAATAAGCCATTAGAAATTAGAATCACATGACCGCACTAGGTGCAATACTGCAATGGCAAAATCTGATCATCACAGGACATTTGTATGGAGTTGACAAATATGAATCTGACCTAATTGTGAACAGTCAATGTTCTCTCCTTATGAAGGATTCTTGTTTATTGTTCTGTTCCTTTTGTTTCCTGAGTGACTATAAATTGTACTGACCTTGAAAGCTCATTAGTAAAGTAACTGATGCCACAGTGTGGGATTCTATTAATAGAACTAAAAAAGCTGCTATAAGCTGCATTCTACGTGTTTCCAGTGGATCCTCTGACTCAGTTTGGAAGGAGTACAAATACAAATATGTAAAGTCCAAAACCTTGCATATTGTATTATTTTGTACATATTTGTATTTGTACTCTTTCCAAACTGTAATTATTCATGGAGAGAGAGAGACGAGAGAGAGAGAAGAGAGGAGAAGAGGAAGATACGATTGAGAGTCTCAAAACTATATCTGGCGGCAGCCAGTTTGTTTATTTACATTAACTTAATATAAATGAATGAGAAATTACAAGTATGCCCCTGGTGGCACTCCCTAGTAACAAGCTAATAAGAAAAAAAGAAACTAATTGGCTGACAGCATCTTAAGCTGACAGCACACTAACAGCAACTGTAAAATAACAATTAAATAATCCTCACAACACTCCCCCTCAAGTTGGGCTGAATATGTCTATCATGCTCAGCTTGTTACATAACTCATTGTGCCGCGAGTATGGAAGTCCTTTTGTGAGAACATCAGCAAGTTGTTCCTTGGAACTGACATAAGGGATGCAAATTTCACTTTTTTCCAATTTTTCCCTTATGAAGTGTTTGTCCACTTCAATGTGCTTGGTCCTCTCATGTAGGACAGGGTTGTTGGCGATGTTTATGGCTGCCTTGTTGTCACAGTAAAGAGACAGAGGATTATGAACAACAACTCCAAGCTTCCCTAGAAGGTGTTTTAGCCAAAGGACTTCAGCCACCCCATGTGCCATAGCTCTATATTCAGCTTCAGCACTTGACCTTGTTACCACACTTTGTTTCTTGCTTTTCCAGGTCACTAGTTTTCCTCCCACAAATGTGCAATACCCACTTGTGGACTTTCTATCATCCACAACACCTGCCCAATCAGCATCTATAAAGACTTCCACCTTTAGGTGATTATTTTTACTGAATAGTAGACCTGTTCCTGTATATTTTTTTAAGTATCTAAGAACTCTCTTTACTGCCTCCATGTGTGGTTTCTTAGGAGAGTGCATGAATTGGCTCAAGACCCCAACTGAATAGGCAATGTCTGGATGGGTCACGGACAAATAAATCAACTTTCCCACTAACCTTTGGAACTGTTTCACATCTTTTAGAGGTTCACCATCACAGTCACCCAATTTGTGATCAACATCCATGGGAGTATTTGCTGGCCTTGCACCTAACTTGCCTGTGTCTTGCAACAGATCAAGGGTGTACTTCCTTTGAGAAATGAAGATACCCCTTTTTGAGCGGGTGACTTAAATTCCAAGAAAATACTTCAGGGGACCTAAATCTTTCACTTCAAATTTATATGCAAGGAATTGTTTCAATTTTAGTATTTCTGAACTCCAATTTCTTGTAATGATGATATCATCCACATACACTATCAATATAGCAACCTGTTCCTAACATCTCTTCACAAAGAGTGTGTGATCAGACTGATATGGCATGAACCCTACCTGTTGAACTGCCATGTGAAACTTATTGAACCAAGCCCTGGGAGATTGTTTTAAACCATAGACTTTCTCAGCTTGCATACCTTATTTTCACTTCCCTTGGCACAGAATCCAGGGGGTTGAACCATGTACACCTCCTCCTCTAGGTCACCATTTAAAAAAGCATTCTTTATGTCCAGTTGATGCAATTCCTAGTCAAGGTTAGCAGCTAATGATAGGAGGACCCTAATTGTGTTCATCTTAGCTACTGGAGTAAAAGTCTCATCATAGTCAACCCCGTACACTTGAGTGTACCCCTTGGCTACTAATCTTGCTTTGTACCTTTCAACTGTCCCGTCCGCCTTGTGTTTAACTATAAACACCCACTTACACCCCAYTGGGTTTTTCCCCCTTAGAAGATCCACCAATTCCCAAGTTTGATTTTTATGGAGGGCATTAATCTCCTCCTTCATAGCATCTGTCTATTCAGGGCATTTTAAGGCTTCTGCAACATTTCTTGGTCCTGGGAGTCTAACGGTATCGGTTGCTCAATGTTTGGATGCTCCACATCTTTATCACATTGCTGATCTCTACGGCGTGTACATTGGAAGACACAAAAGGGAGCAAGGTCTGGAATAGAAGGAAGAGAGACTTGGCGGACCTGAACCTGCTTTTCCTCTTCCACACTACTCTCCCCTTGAGGAGAAGCAGGGAAGAACGGTTCAGACTCCAAGCAGGATACATCTATAGACACAAAAAACTTATGACTAA